AGGGATTTGGGGAGGAAAAGACAGAGGTCTGTCCTGCTCACTCGAGCAGACTTAATAAATCTGCCCCGAACGCCCCACCCAAAACATCAGGTCTAGTGGTCGACCAATATGGGCTTTTTGACAGCCGATACCGATATCTTGGAAAGCAGGGTGGCCGATGGGCGATATAAAGCCGATATAATTTTATTTTAATTCATATTTAAGAAATTTGAAATAATCTGAAAATGGATTAAAAAATAAACATGCAAAATATACATACTTCTACTCTAGAAGACAAAGTATTTTTCACAAATAAATAAATATTTAATAAAAATATAATTAAAAAGGAAGTAAACACTGTAACTAACAGGGCACTTAGTATTCTGGGAAGTTTGTGTGCATTGGGAATCATATTTTTTCAAATAAATTCAAGGTAACACTCATTTTACATACAGCACACTGTGAAAATGACATGAATATGACAGTGGGCAAATGCATAAAGCGCAGCATAATTTGAAAGTCACAAGCTTAAAGTTTGTCAATCGCGCGTCTCCAGTGAAGCTGAACTCTCCTCCTGTCCGCATTCAATTCACACGGACCATAGGACCGACTGTCACAGAACACGCGATCATGCAGGTCACATGCAGACTTCACAAGATCTCAACTAGATTCGACTAAGTCTGCAAGGTTTGTGAAATTAAATGTTCATTAGTCATTCAAAGATTTGTTTAAATTATATAAATGCGTATTTGCGGAATGCTGACGGCAAACAAGAAACTATTATAATGTTTGCCTTTAATAATATTAAAGCAATCGTTATAATACTTTTTTGTATCCATTTTAATTCCTTTGTTTAAAAGTTCTATCTGATTATTAGATAGACTTCTATCCATATTAGACAGAACTGAATGACAACAGCGAACAAGAGGGAGAATGTGAGCACTGTGTGCTCAGGCGCTGCCGCAGTCGTTCTCGGCGCCGTCAAAATAAAAGTCCCGCCTCGAACACATCGGCCAAACAGAAAAACTTTTCTTTCTATTTATTTGAAAAATGGCAGATATCGGCGATATATCGGTCGACCACAAATCAGGTCGAGGGCGACACACACACACACTTTGGTGCCAACTCTCACTTCTCCTTCTAGCCATTACTACAACAATGGCTTTCAGAAGCGACTCCTTGAAAAGCCACAATCAATGGTACACGCCAATTCACAAATCCCCACCATTATGACATCACTCGTCTGGATCTGAATTCAAAGAACAAAATGGAGAACAAAACGCTATTAAACGACATCAGCCGCACAAAGTAGTCAGATATGGTCACAGGTACTTACTCCAGTAACGTTCATACACCGTTAAATGAACATTCCCGCTATTTTAAAGTGTACACAGCTGGATGACTTTTGGACGTGTGGGGTTAATTCCGTAATCCCTGCTTTTAACTT